TGCCCAATGGACCCATTCCCTCTCCCCAACATTGATCAGTTGGTGGATGAGACGGCGGGGTGCGAGTTGATGTCGTTCCTCGACGCGTTCAGAGGGTACCACCAAATATCCATGCATGAAGATGACGCGGAGAAGACTGCTTTTATGACCCCGGAGGGAATCTTTTGCTACCTCGTCATGGCCTTTGGGCTCAAGAACTCCGGCGCCACCTACACAAGGATGGTAGCCCGGATTTTTAGAGCAGTCTTAGGTCGGACGATGGAAGCATACGTCGACGATATGATCGTCAAGAGCAAACAATCCACAACCCACGCCGACGACCTCCGGGGCATCTTCGAGATCATGAAGAGATACAACCTCCGGCTCAACCCAAAAAAGTGCACCTTCGGCGTCCAGGGAGGTAAATTCCTGGGGTACTTGGTCAGTCGAAGGGGCATCGAGGTGAACCCGGAGAAAATACAAGCCATCATCAATATGGAGCCACCCCGCAACATCAAAGAAGTGCAACGGCTGACGGGACGCCTCGCGGCCCTGAACCGTTTTCTCTCAAAATCCGCTGAGAAGTCTCTCCCCTTTTTCCAAATAATGAGGAAGGCCACCAGCTTCAAATGGACGACGGAGTGTCAACAAGCCTTCGAGGAGCTGAAACAATATCTCGCCTCCCCGCCCGTCCTATCCAAGCCCCAACCCGGCGAGACTCTCTTCCTTTACTTAGGAGTGAGCATGTCGGCCGTCAGCTCCGTACTCATCAGGGAGGATGACGGGGTACAAAAAGCTATATTCTACGTCAGCAAGACGTTGCGGGAGGCCGAGCTTAGGTACTCCCCCATCGAGAAAACGGTGCTGGCCATCGTCCACACGGTGAAAAAACTTGGACACTACTTCCAGGCTCACCCCGTCCACGTCCTCACCCATCAGCCATTGGGCGCCCTCATGAGGAGCCCAACCAGCTCCCCAAGGATGATCAAGTGGGCAATATTCTTGAGCCAGCACCAGATTGAGATCAAGCCGAGGCCATCCATCAAAGGGCAAGCTTTAGCTGACTTCGTCACCGAGTGCACGGCAAGGGAGACGGCCGTTACCACCACAGGAGCTGAACCGGACGAAGCCTGGACCCTCTACACGGACGGGTCCTCGGCCACCAAGGCTTGTGGGGGTGGCGTCGTCCTCATCTCCCCGGAAGGATTCAGAGCGTACTACGCCATCCGCTTCAATTTCAAAGTATCCAACAATGAGGCCGAATATGAAGCGCTCCTCAGCGGTCTCAGATTAGCCGCTGGCCTCAAAGCACGCCACGTCAGAATCAAATGCGACTCCAAACTCGTAGTGAGCCAGATGGAGGGTTCCTACGAGGCCAAAGAAGGGAGGATGAAGCAATACAAGGAGGCCGCTGCGGAATTGCTCAAGGCGTTCGATACCTACGAGATCACTCAGATCCCAAGGGCGGAGAACGCCGAGGCCGACATACTCTCCAAACTCAGCTCCGACACCCCCGAGCACATCTCCAAGATAGCAAAGGTAGAGGAGTTGAGTATGTCAAGCATTCACGCTAGCCCCATACTCTCCATACAACACCAGCCGGAGGACTGGATCACTGACATCGCAACATACATCACCTCCGGCACGCTACCAGAAGACAAGGAGAGGGCCAAACTAGCCAAGCTCAGGGCCCCAAGCTATGTCATTGAGGGTGACAAGCTCTACAAGAGATCATACAACGGCACCCTCCTCCGGTGCCTACACCAGAATGAGGCCGAAGTGGCCATGGAAGAAGTCCACTGCGGCGTATGCTCATCACATCAGGGGCCTTTCAGCATGTCGCGCCGCCTCGTCGTCCAAGGCTACTTCTGGCCGACGATGGCGCGTGATTGCGCTGAGGTCGCCCGCAAATGCAGCGCATGTCAACACTATCAAAGGGCACCTGGCCGACCAGCCGTCAACTACGCCCCGGTCAGCACTGCCATCCCATTCTCCAGATGGGGCATCGACCTCGTCGGCCCTCTACCAAGAGCTGCGGGCAACAACAGATACATCATCGTCGCCATCGACTACTTCACCAAATGGGTCGAGGCCGAACCACTCGCAAGCATCACCGGAGCGCGGTGTCGAAAGTTCGTCTACAAGAACATCCTCACCCGCTTCGGCGTGCCTCAGGAGATCATATCAGACAACGGCACCCAGTTTGAGGCCGAACCATTCCAAAGCCTCCTCCAAGAATGGGGTATCAAGCACCGTTTCTCCTCCGTCGCCTACCCTCAGGCCAACGGGCAAGTTGAGAACGCCAACAGAACCATCTTGGAGGGGCTAAAGAAGAAGCTCGAAGAAGAAGGCGGAAGTTGGGTCGGCGAACTCCCCAACGTCTTATGGTCCTACCGCACTACGCCGAGGAGGGCCACTGGGGAGACACCATTCTCCTTGTGCTACGGCTTCGAAGCCAAGGCTCCCACTGAGGTGACGCTTCCCAGCCGACGGGTCACACAATACGATCCCGAGGCCAATGAAGAAACAATGAAGGTGGACCTACACCTCATCGACGAGAGACGAGAAATGGCCTACCTCAGAGCGGAGAACTACAGACGACAAGTCAAATCCTACTACGACGCCAAGGTCCGCTCTCGCGAATTCCAGGTAGGGGACTACGTCCTCCGCCGAAGAGAAGCAAGCAAGCCGACGGAAGGAGGAAAGCTCGCCGTCAAATATGAAGGGCCCTACATTGTCAGCGCCGTCATCAAAGCCGGCACGTATAAACTAAAGAACCCTAATGGGTCAGATGTACCACGATTGTGGAATGTACACCACCTGGTGAAATTTTACCAATGACTCGAGAAGTGGTGAAGCGGGCAACGTCCCCCACCCCTCGGCTTATTGGTTGAATAAAACACCCTCGGCCTAGCGCCACTTATTGAATAAAATTCATGTTTCATCCAATCTTTTAAGATTTGAGCAAAAGAAACCCAGGGACCACATCGGTCTAAGCGGTGTAATCACCCGGATCCGGTGCGACCTAAAGCCGTCGCAATAAACGACGCATCTAAAGCCGTCGCAATAAACGACGCATCTAAAGCCGTCGCAATAAACGACGCACCCAAAGCCGTTGCAATAAACAACGCACCCAAAGCCGTTGCAATACAACAACGCACCTAAGGCCGTTGCGATCCACAACGCGCCTCCAAAGCCGTTGCAATAAACAACGCACCTAAATATCGTATCGGCACAAGCGGTGAAACACCCAAATCGGCCGGCGATATGCAGGATGAAGGACCTGTGTGCATGGTCCAACGTCTTCAAACGGAGAAGCATACCGCGTCGTCCGCGCGGAAACCGCAGGACGACAGGCCTGAATTAAGGCTGAGGTTACAAAAACTCCACCCGTCAGTAAAATTTCGATCAGGACCACAAAGGGCGGCCGTCAAAAGACGATGCCTTGTCCGGTCCCTCGTCGACGATAGACGTGGAAAGGCCAAAAAAGGAAGCCACTGACACCAAGCCGAGGGCGTATTTACTCCCTCGCACTAATTCACGCGAAGAGCGTAGCGGACAAACTACCGCACACGGACGAAGGGACAGTAACCCTTCGGCCACCCAAAAAAAAAAAGAAAAAGAAAAAAGAAAAGAGGGAAGCCGACGGACCGTGCACTCGCCGGCCTCGAGCATAAAACAAAATCCCCACAAAAACCAAGCCTCAAATTTGGCTAAGTACATATCAGGTTTTCACTATACAGGGATCCGAAGTGCACGCTTCGGCCCCAACCATAGCGTCACAAAAGGTAATCGCTTCGGCTTCGGTTATACAAAACCACAGTCCATTACTTGGACGATGGGACGCATCGTCTCCAATTAGCAAAACCCAAGTGACGAACCAAAGCAAAACACCTACCTCAAGGAAGCTTGACACTTAGAACATTCTCTAAGTCACACTACAAGAGAGACGATGCGCTACGTCCCCAACACTCCAGGATTAAGTTCCGAAAACTCAACTCGGGAAAGACGTAAAGGCAAAAATGGAATTCATCAAGGGACGACGAGGCGCATCGTCTTCAAAGAAAGGAGGTCGCTACATCTCAGCAGACGGACGCCACAAGATAAACTCTTGACACTTAGAAAGATTTCAGAACTTTGGGGCCATGCCTTACCTAAGACGCAAGGGACGTAGCGCCGCGCCAAGAAAAGTTTCAACACTTGGTAAAATTTTTTGAAACACATGTTCTAAACACAACAGTTCCGACGAAGGGGCGCATCGTCCCTTACATCAGATGCAGGGAACACGCGCAACGTCCTCGCACACATACCAGTAAGGCGAGGGTGCCCCCACATCAACACAAAGGAAACGATGGAACGCTTCGTCTCAATCAACACATCGCAAAATATGAAAACTTGTAAAGAAATAATTATAGAGACGACGCGACACCAACAGTTCACAATTCAAAAAGTTATAAAGACAAGGCGATACAATCCGTACTGGAACCAAAAAGAGTTGTCATTTAGCGATGATTCAAAATACAAAGGGGGGCGCTTCGGCTGTTACAATCATCAGGGCGCTTCGGCCATTGAGACTACAACTACAAATATAAAACAAAGTACAAAAGATACTAAGCTACGTCCCCAGCCTGCCCCTGGCCACCCTCAACGGCTCCGCTGTCCGCATCGTCTTCCTCATCCTCAACAGTTTTGGACTTGACCGAGCTCCGAAAAAGGTAGTCATCACTCTCGGTCCAGGGCTCGTCCTCTTCATCCGAGCTCAGGATGGGGGGCTGCCTTTCGGACAGAGGAAGTTTCAACTCCTCCTCGGGGTCCTTCATCATCCGGGGAAGGCCGATACCCCTGGGCTTCAAATTTTTCACACGCCGACGGAGACGGCGGTAGACCAACATCTGCATACGCCTCTGGCCGAGGTCGTACCAGACTTCAAATTCTTGTTTGAGGCAAGCTCGGCCAGCTTCCTCCTGAGACCACGCTTCGAAGCGCTCCGCCACGACCTTAAAACTCCAGTCGCGTCGGGTCTCGTCCTTCCAACCTTCAGCCATGAAAAGTTCAATGGCTCTATCAGCAGCCGCTGCCGCATCGGCCTCCAACTTCACAGCTTTTTCTTCTGCAAGCCGACGGGCGGCCGTTTCTTCATCAAGCTGATTTTGGAGGCGCTTCGCCTCGTCCTCAGCGACAATGGCTCTCTTCTCAGCCGCATCAGCTTTTTCTTTCAAAGAGGCAGTCTCAGTCCGAAGCCGCTCCAACTGGGAAAGCGCCTCGTCAGCAGAAGCGGCTTTCTTCTCAGCTTCACGAAGGCGTGCAAGCTCCTCGTCCTGCCGCCGCTGTTGCTCCATGAGCATGAAAGCACCCTGCAGAAAGACGTAACGTTAAAAAAAAAAAGAGGGGACAAAAATTACTAAGTACCAAGTCAGAGGTTTACCTGGACGACATAGTCCAATCCACCATCAAAGAGACGCACATCCTTGCTCTGCCGACGTAGGTACTCCCTGTCGGCATCGGGAATGGCCTGGAACAGGACGTCGTGCCCGGAGACCTTCTCGTTGAATAAGCCACCCTTAGGCGAATACCGCACCGTCACCTCATAGAGACCGGAGGTCAGATCTCGGTCAACACGGGCACTCTTCTTTGCAGCAGCCCCGGACTTCGTAGGAACAAGGGCGGACGAGGCGACGTTCAACGTCAGATCCTCGATGATGTGCACATCAGAGGCAGCCCCCCCTTGAGCCGATGCCTGCGTATCGGCCAAAGCGGCATCATTAGGGGGAGGGTTCGGCTTCGTCTTCTTGGCGCCTTCAGCCGACACCAGACCCGTCTCGGTGAGAGTACGCTGGCCCTCAGCGGCCTTCTTCCTCTTCACCACCGGCTTTTTTGCCGCGTCAGCATGACTCTTGGAGCCGTCACCGGAAGCCTTAGACGCTTCGGCACGCTGGGCGGCCTCCAACTCCTTTGCAACCTGCTTCTTGGCCTGAGCCATGAACATTTTGCGACTCATCTCGTAACCTGCAAGGACGACACCAAAGGAAAAAGAGTTAGAAGCAAAGAAAAATGCTAAGTACACAAGGATTAAGAGAAAAGCTATCAACCTTCGGCTTCGGCCGGAATCCCAATAAGTGGCCCATCGGCCTGTTCAAAAGAGCCAGAGATCCTAGGCCACAATCCACAATCCGGGTCGCCAGGAATGTAATACCGCATCATCCCGAGAGCCGCAATCTTGAACTCAGTAATGTACGTGTTCACACTCCTCGGCCCACCTTTTAGGAATGCCTCAACTTGGGCATCGAGCTCAGCGCTTCGCGGCGGATTATGCAGGCTAAAATTACCATTATGCCCTTGCGAAGGAAAGAAAACCCCATCGGCCAACTTCACGAATACAAACTTCGCCTTCCACCCATGGATAGACGAAGGGAGGTCTTTGAAAGATTTCTTCTCCGGGAGTTGCTGAAGCGTAGCATAACCAGCACAATTCTTATGACTCCCTCGGCCGATCCGGAACAAATTTGTAAAAAGGGCCGTCGTGGGCTCAAAACCCAGCTCGTCGCATCGGATGAGGAACCCAACGATCAGTGAGAAACTATTCGGCGTCAACAGCGCCGGGGGGAGATCTACCATCCTCAAGTACTCAATCACAAAAGGGGGCAGCGGAAACCGTAGTCCTTGCGAGAACCCCATCGGATAAACCCCGAAGTACCCAGGAGGAGGATCCAGAACATGGTCCGTCGGCCTAGGCTCCCTCACCTTTCCATAAGGCCCAACATACAGCTGAGCCAAATGATAATCACCTCGGGTGCCCTCGGGCCTTATGACATACAGATTTGTTAAGTCCAACTGGGACAACCCGCCAGCCGCAGCTTTCCTCCGACGCGACGCGCGTTCCTTGGTAACCCTAGAAGACGACGCCCCACCTGGCACAGACGAAATAGGTGGAGGGCAGGGGATGGCGGCCGAAGAGGCATCACCCGCTTCGTCTCCCCGAAGCTTGGGTTCCGAGCTCGCCTCGTCCTCGCCCGATTGTTGGGAACCCGCATCATCATTCAGACGCTCCTCGTCCTGAGAAGTGCGGTAATCGGCAGTATTCTCCATCTCTGTTTCAAACGCTCGAACTATCTCAAGATTCACTCCAGGAGACGGGTCCTCGTCGTCAAAAGGCCAGTCCGACTCGTCTAAAGAAGCTGTTAAGTTAAGAGGGGAGGGGACGCTACGGCCGTCAGGGAACGGCATAACAACTATGCTACGTCCTAAGGGTTGTTCGAGGATCAAAGTGATTTTTCCTAGAAACACTAGATCTAACCCCCTAGGAAGCAAAGTATAAAGAAAAAAGGGAGAACAATTCAAGAACCTAACCTTGGAGTAGGTGAAGATCCGAAGAACACTTGAAGATTTCTGGGAAGCACTTTATCTCTCTAGAAATCTCAGCAGCAATTCGACAACAGCAAAGCACAAATAAGGAGGCGGCTTCGGAATGAGGGGGTATTTATAGACACCCACCAACGGTCACCACACGTGGCACAATCCGATTGGCCACCACAGCGGCCACCTCCCCCCAGGACCAATCAGGGCTTGACCTTTCGCATTCCGCCCTAAAGCCACCCGCTACGGCCCAACTTAAACTTACAGAGAGCAAGGCATCGGCCGAGTACCGCTACGGCCCAAGTACTACAGAGCTTCAAAGCAAGTGTCGGCCCATAAGCCGAAAAAGGAACGCATCGGCCTCACAACGACCCAGGAAACCTTAATAGACCGCTACGGCCTCCTACGCGCGCATCGTTGACGATGACCCTGGTATCGCGGCCTTCGTCCAAGGGTTATCCCACAGGGTTACCTTGGACAGGTTCGCCTAAGGGTTGGAGTCGCGACTAACGCATACGTACCGGATCGGCTCATTACTCCCTTGTGCCTCAGATGCTCTTCGGCCAAAGGAGTGGGGGACTGGGGGACTGTATCGGCCACAAGAAAAGGAAGCGCAGCGGCCTTAATACAAAAGGGTGCGCTACGACTCACCAACGACAAAAGATGAACAATTCACTTCAAATAAGCATGAAGAGTCGCATCACCTGCCTCAAGCACATCGCGGATCGCATCGGCCACAGAACCCAAAATTAAAAACCTAAAAATGCAAGATCTAGCGCGCAACGGCTGCGCACACTGGGGGACTACCAGCTACGCACAAAAAAGTAAAACGCCTCGTCCAAACAAAAATAAAAGCGCATCGGCTCACTCATGAGGGTATCACTACGTCTGCCAACATGAATCGACTGCATCGCCTAAACACAAAGAAAGGAGGAGTGGAGCGCATCGTCTTCAAGACATGAAAAAATCAGACTTCAGCTGATTTTGGACAAGAGATCTCGCCTCGTCTAGCTTTGCCACAGACGGGTAAACCACTACATCCAGGAAGCAAAGAATGTAACACAGCGGCCCTAGGTTACAAGGGTACGCTTCGTCTGATCTTGATCAAAAGATCACGCTTCGTCGGAGATCAGATGACAAGGCCCCGCTTCATAGGGACTCAGATAAAGCTGGCGCCTCGTCTCAGAGGACACACACCAAAACAGGAATTGGCATCGCTACGACCGCAAAGAAGAAACAAGGTGACTCCCTTTCGCTTCGTCTGTGACTCAGCTCAGAGAGTGGGGGACTCCTGATAGAGTATATGGGCTTGGACCCCAAGGCCCACATACTCAACGGCCCAAAAGCCCCGAAACGAGACACCGATGCCATGCACTTCGTCCAGATGACCCGCGACGTCCAAAGAAGTAGTCATCGGGAATCGTCGTACCACGGCCAGAGGGCCGCATCGTCTGGGGTCGCATCGTCTGGGGTCGCATCGTCTTGGGTCGCGTCGTCCGGGTCGCATTGTCCGGGCCGCGTCGTCCGCGGATCTTAGGCAGAACACGTTTTTCTGTATCATTTTACTAAGTATTGTACTCAGCCCATTAGTGGCCTTATTTCGCCCAAGGAAGGCATGATTATTGTAATGGGCCTCCTAAGCCCAAGGCTAGGGGCCCAAATCCATCTTTTTACCTATAAATAGACCCCAAGGGGCTAATTATAGGGGGTTGGAAATTGAGAAATATAATTACTCACTTTCTCTCTCTAGCTCTCACTTCTCTCTAGAGTTAATACTCTATCAATATATATTTCTTACGAGTATATATATATATATATATATATATACATATATATTTTAATGTATTTTTACTTATTTATCTTTATATTACATTCATCATTGTAGTTTAGTTATTTAACTATTTAAAACTATTATTCACTTCAAAAGGTTCTCTTAGGCTTCTTAGGCCTCGCATTCGGCCCAAACTCCAGCGAATCGGAACTCGAAAGGTCCAAACTATTTAAAATTATTATTCTCTTTAACCGGTTCAACATATTTGTATTGTAATTTCAAACGTTGAATGTCGTTTTGGCAAAATTGTATGTAAGATATTTTTCAAATACTAGGAACCATTAAATAACAAGAACCGAACCATTAAGAACGGTTCGGTCCCTTATCGGTTCTATAAAATAATTTATAAGAATCGAACCGTTAGTAAAATTTCATATTTTCAAACAGTTCCACATATTTTATCTAGGAATCGAACCGGTCCCAGACCTATATTTTATAATTATGGACGTCTAGTTTGATTTGATGTGATGTGAGACCGAAAATAATGCAACTCTCCAAAGGAAAAACATCTTTAGTACTTGGTATATACAATCCTATATGGACTTATGGAGTACTTCGTAGTATCGATCGATGCAGGGCGGGCAAATTTTACGTAGTGAGCATTGATTCTGATGTCTCCGACAGACGCGCAACATGCTTTTTTGGATTTATTAGTATTTCTGGATAAACAAAGACCCGCGCCGGCCTACGTAATCCGGCTTGATTCCCCGCGTCCCCTGCACCTTCAATTCCCTATAAATCATTACCATCGCCCACCTAGCCTAGCAGCTAATCATAACACAACTCCGCTCCTAGCTAACCTCCGCCGCCGCCGCCGCCGCAACCATATATATTTACACGTACTCGTTCGTTCAATTCAATCATCAACCGGCCGCCATGGATTATCGAACCCTTTCCAGGCAGCCGTCCACGAGAAACACGATCAGCACCCAGCAGCCGGTCAGGAACGCGGGGCTGCCTCCCCATCCGCCGCAGTCGGCGTCGACGTCGTCGAGCCACCCGGCGGATATATTCGGGAACATGGTGAAGGAGATTGCGGCAAAGAAGGCGGTGGTGATATTCACGAAGAGCACGTGCTGCATGTGCCACAGCATCAAGGTGCTGTTCGTGGACATGGGGGTGAACGTGCACGAGCACGAGCTGGACCTCCACGAGTTCGGGCAGGAACTGGAGTGGGCTTTGAAGAACATGGGCTGTAGCCCCACCGTGCCCGCCGTCTTCATCGGCGGCAAGCTCGTCGGCACCGCAACCGAGGTCATAAACCTTCAAATTTCCGGCGATCTCAAGCAAATGCTCAAGGATGCCAAAGCTATTTGGCTCTGACTTATTATTACATACAGTAGTACGTGTTGTTATTATTAAGTGTACAACTACTTGAGGAACGTACCGTACTATGTGACCATGCATGATACCAAAAACTAATTAAATTAACATTAATAATTGTGTCATGTCAAGTAGCTAGCTTATTATAAGCTTATAAGCTTGTAGCAGCTTATATTGGATATATGTGGCTGGCCGGACATGATTAAACAACTTTCT